CGAGCCTTTTACTGTGGCGAGCATTGATCAGCAACTTGAGGATTTGCCTTGTTGTGGATTCATTGGTGACTGCTGAAAACACCAACAATTGACTGAAATTCATCAACTCTTGCGAAAAAAGACGAAACTGGCCTTTGCTTCCTAATGGCGCAACATGGATGAACCCAGTCTGGCTGTCAATTGCAAATAGCCAACTCTTGCTGACTTTGTTTCTGAACCCCTCGCTCTTGTGTAGCAAAGGTCAAAGCTTAGCTCCGGAATACTTCCTCTCTTTACTCCATCTGTTCTCTCACGGCGACCTGGACGCGCTCGATGTTCTGGCATACGTGTCAACCTGTGCCTTGCTTGAGTTGCTTCGTCCTAATGCATCTCTTGTCCCTTGAGCTTTTGCGTCGCTCACCAAGCATTTGGCATTGAACAATGCCATCTTCTTGTTGCGATTGAGGATCGAATCCTTAGTCCACTCTATTCCATTCACCAAAACTTTGTCTACATCCATTGGGCTCAATTGTAGTTCACACTCAAGGTCAGTATCTTTCTTTTCATCTTCTTTCTGACCTTGTAACTCCTTCTCCTGGCAAGTAGGGGTAATTCTATTGCCTGCTGCACTTCTTTCTTTCTCTGTTCTCAAGCTTCTTGAATCCTGGCCCAAAGAATCCCATAACCTCTGGCGGCGCTGGCTCATAGCTGAAGATTGCGATTGAAGGAATGACTGCATCGCCCTCAATGAATTGCTCATCAAGTTCATCCTTTTTCATCGTGCTCTCACAATACTCAGGTATTAGCCATCTACCTTCTCTTTTCACCAAAGTGGTTCTCATCAGCTGTGGTGATTCTTCCACTTCTGGAATGACTGTGGATCCACAGTCATGCTCATTGCCAACCTGATTCTTTCTCCAAAGCTTCAGGTACTGCGCCTCCAAGCAGCTCTCATCTTCATCTCGAATGACTCTATGTGGCCTTGAGCTGTCAAAGAGCGACTTTGTAGGTTGAGTGGCGCCGAGTCACAATTCTCCAACATTTCCTCAAGCGCTCCATTCTGTCGCCGGGCCCGGCCTGTCCAGAGGTTCCATCCGGAACATCGTTCATGCCCCGATCGCGTTGAAGACTTGGAGTTCATGAGGGTGACCATGGCTTGGAAGAACGACAACTGGCACCGCATCGTGATGGTGGACTCGGATTGGCGGCGTGAGCAGGTGGGTGAAGGGCCAGGCCAATGGGTTGGCTACTTCTTTTTCCTGGTGAAGGAGCAAGTGGCCCGCCAGATGTGAAGTTTTGTGAACGCCATAAGTATGGCGGGGGGAGTGCGGAAATTCAAGCGACCCGCGCAAACCAAGAAGTGTACATGAAGTGCATGGACTTGTGCACATAGCTGCAACCAAGACAAACCGCCTTTCGTGCTTTTGGCTCAAGAAAACAGGGCCCGACACAATTGGTGTCACATGATTCATAATTCTCTTTGTGTCACCATTTCTTGGACTTTAAATACATTTTCACGATTATTCTTTAGACTTTCAGACCGTGTTCAATTCGTTTCGTTCTTGTTTCAATACTTGCGCTCCACAAGCGTGGCAATTCTGCCTCGCCACCCTCCTCAAAGCCCTTTGCCACCGCTAAGTCTAATGCAGTGACACCGCCTCATTTGAAGAGAATTCGTGCAAAACCATTGTCAGCCTTGCAACAACGCGTTATTATGTGATAGCGCAGCAAAACAAATACTCAACACGCTCCATGCCTTTCCTGAAACTGAAACTGCAGTAGACCAGCCGCGCCACAAAAGTTACCAAAAAGACAAAACTGGTCAAGCGCAAGGTCAAGGAGTTCACTGTGCTTTCTTAAGCTAAGCCTAAGCGAACGCGCGCGTTTCTCACCTGCAAACATAACCTTAAATGTGTTCCATGAGCAAATCTCCGCCGCAAACCGACGTCAAATGGGCGTCCTACTAATAGTATATACTTAACTTACTCTCAGGTTAGGAATCGAAAACTGACAAGTCAAAGCAAAACCGAACAGCCGTGCACGAAGCCGCCTGTATGTAAGGCGACGGTGCAGCAACGAGCAAGAACCAGGGAACCACCTAGCCGCAGCCTGGCGCCCGCTTTCAGCAGTCAGCATCTAAGCGTGACAATGTATCAGCATGTGAGCGCGACCCGCGTCAGCATGCCAGTGTGACAACATGTCAGCATGTCAATGAAAACGCGACACCATGCAAGCGCATCACCTCAGCATGTCAGCATGACGACATGTTACCACGTCAGCAAACGCAGCACGTCAGCGCGACAGCTAGTTTGCAGTTAGCACTCAGGAAGTCGACCTGACAGTGCACACCATAGAAGCAGGTAGCCTGAGGGCATGCCAACATGTCAGTATGATGTCGTGTCAGTGTTATGCCATGACATTGTCAGCGCAACAGCATGTCAGCCTAGCTGCAAAATTGCTGCGAAGCTTGCTCGCGAACCTGCCCCAGAAGCCTGCAACAGGCTCCTGAACTTGCAGGAGCCTTCTCCGGAACCTCCTCAAACCTGCTCCGGCGCTTACTCAGAACCTGCCAACTGGCTATGTAAGGTCCAAACTTGAGCCTGGTGGGGCCACAGCAGGATGCGCCATGTCTGTTCCAAATTGTGCCTACCATGGGCCAAATGAAACCCACAAAACCACCGATATAAAAATAGCTTTCGTAGATTTCGTCGTGGTGCTGGAGAGGTGGCGGGGGGAGGGCGCAGCGCCTCCCCCCAATGAGCACACCGAGCGGAAGGTTGCTTGGAAACGGGTGTGACCCGAACTACGCTCAGCAAACTAGGAGACAGTTTTAACAGAGGTCATCCTAAGTTTGGTGGATAGGATTACTGTTCGTATTATTTATCCTTCAAAACGCTCAAAACGTATCAATTACGATGACTTGCGCTGTGCTGATGTGATGTGTGCTGGTGTGAATGTGAAGATGATGTGTTTGATGGTGACATTGTGATGCCTGACCATGGGAAAGCCTTACATGCGCCACTGTGCCAGCAACGGAGCGACACGGGTGGGGGTGCAAAGTTTGTTCTAATTTTGCCGGCTGGCGTTTGAGGTTGGAATGGTTCCTTCCTACTCTAACTTTTACCCTCGGTTGGTCCGTTAGTCCAGAAGAGGGTGTCTGAGGTCTCTAGAAATTGTGTAGGGTTAGAATGGTCAGAATGGTCCGTTCTTGCTCTAAATTTTACCTCGGTTGGCCCGCAAAAGGTTAAAGGTGGAACCGTTCCTCGCTTTGTCATGAAGTAGCAGAGAGACCTTTGGATGATTCAAGTCAAAAAGCTCCTCACTGTTCACCTATGCTTGCTCCGTCGAGCATCCATCACAAGCATCCCAGAAAACCAAAGTATGAAGGGCGTGAAGGGGACCAAGAAGGTCAGGGACGAGGAGCAAGGAGACCTGGGACTAAGGGACCAGGCGACCAAGGGAGCAAAAGACCAAAGGACCCAGGGAACCAAACTTTTTTTCATATGAAACGGTGTTCTTTTAGATGCTTAATATGTTATTTTGATGCTTATCTTGTTGATGCCTATCCCTTTACTTTTGTTATCGCTCATTTTAGACACACTCCTTCAATACCCCTGCAGGGCTTGGTTGATAAGGGTGATGAAGCACATATCTCATGTGCCTGTGAACAGCTTCACGAAAAGCCAACGGATCAAAGGCCGCCACTCCAGGTTGTGCTTGGGTCGCACCTGTAGTCACACGTACGATATCGAGGGAAAGAAGAAAAAGTGATGCCAAGAAAGCTACAAGTGAGAGGTTTGCAGCACTTTAAATACACTCACAAGCCATGCAAAAGCTCATCGGTTCGAAAGCTTGTTGGGCTTTCTGCAAGCTAATTTTGGTTTTGCTAAGAATCCAACTCGTTTCGGCTGCAAAGGAGACGGAGAAGCTCTACATCCCCTCGCAGCACTGCCTAAAGGGTTGAGCTAAATCCGAGGACTGGAGCTTGCAAGATTGGATAAGCCACAGGCCGCGTGCAACGCACTGCCCAAAGAGTCCGGCGCACCACCCTACAAGTCCAAGACGATGGAGGCCAAAAGAAGCTACTAGTAATGCCCTTGTTACTAGTAGCGATGACCTTAAGCTACTAGTAGACCAAGTACGTCAATTCTATACGTCAAAAGAAGTTTCAGTGTCCAATGCTGCCTCGCTGGACAAATGCAGCACCAGCCTCAAACTAGACTTAAGAATAACCTTAAAAGCAACGCCCCAAAACACAGTCCAAGAAACATAGGCTTGCAGTGCCAAACTGCTCCGAGATATGTCAGTTTCCACTTTTGAATCTTCTGAGCCAACACCTGATGCAGCTTGGTGATGTATTGGTACAGTTTGCCATCTTGCAATCGCCTCCTTGGACTGCTCGTACTGGAAAGAGCTGCTAAACTGTTTATTCCTGCTGGCAATCTGAATACGTTGAAATTGAAACAACGGAGATAGGCACTGAACTACAATGACGCTTCAAATTGTCATCAGTCCCTAATCTTAGTTGGCAATCCAGGCAGCCACATACTGTCGTCTGACCTTGGGACGCACCAAATTCTTGCACAATATTGATTGCAGGGCTGCAGGGCCTTCATCCTTCCCCAACTCTGATGTATTTTCTTTGGAGGTTCCGAAATCTACATTCCGCCAAAACTCTTGGGATTGTGGGTGCAGGTCAAAACACAAATTCAGGTGGCCACAAATCGCGAGGGAGCGAAAGTGTTGATGCGTTGAATGTTGAATTGTTCCACTTGCTTGCTTGAATGTTTGACAATGTTTGACATGCCCTTTGTGACCCTTCACATGACACACACTTCCTCTGTTTGAGGCCAAAGCCCTGATTCTGTACCTGGCGAAAGCCACCTTGCAGTTTGCCTTCTTGCACGCGCTTTCGCACCTTAGACATCTGTGACGCAAAGAATAATCAACAGTTGAACCTTCACAACCAATGACAGGTGAAGCAAGAAGAATTGCAAGTTCTGCAAAGCCTGCAGGACCTCTTTTGCTCTTGCGCTGGGCACAGTTTGCAACACATTTTGGATGCACAGCAACTCTTTGAGTGGCAGGGTGGAGGCAGTCATGGATGACTTAGATACTGATCAACCAAGCATTGCGACGTCATAGGAAGTCCCTGCACCGGGACCTGCTTTCCTGAGCGGCTGTGCCAGCTGTGTCCTCTGATTCTTTCATGAATTTCATGATCATACAAAACAATGACTCTTTCTCCAAATGCTGACTCGGCCTTTCGGAAGCTGCTCACCACTGCCTCATGTGAAGAAGCCCTTGCACAAATATTAGTCGCATTGATGAGGATTCTTGGCGCCGCGCTGCCAGCCAACTGGTATGCCCGATTGATTGTTCTTGTCCTAGAAAAAGCAGTTTTGCAGCAATAGGCAAAAACTGCTGGCACTCAAGCTGCTGTCAAACTATCCAAATATGTCCAAACCGCTTTTGTGGCTTATGCAGTATTATGATATTTGCCCTGCCTGTCTGCCAGCTCCCGTTCTCTCTGTCTGTCTTGTCTGCATAATTATCGTTTTGCTGGTTGCCTTTTATTTCCTTTGTATATACCTGTCCCACGGCGTCTATCTCTGTTGCCTGCTGCCTCTCTCTCGACTCTGTGTTGCTGAGCGCCTCTCTTTTCCCTACGAGTAGCAAAGGAGCTGTCCTGTCCGTATTACCGTATTACTTCCATTTCCATTGATCTCTAACCGTGCTAACATGTGCTAACCTCAATAGGAGCGCTATTCTGCGTGATGCGAAGGAGACAAGCCTATGTGAAGAACCTGACTGCAGGTTGTCGCTCGACCCTCTCCAAGACCCTCTCTCCCCAAAGCTAGTCAAAATTACGCATAAAGAATGCACATTGAGAAGCATTTTGCTGCAGTTGCTGTTTCTGACCTAGCATGGTTTCAGGTGTCTCTGCTAGTAACTGCTAGTTATGCATGCACAACGGCATTGTTGCGGCACGCCAAGCTTGCACTTACACAGAACTGCCAGTTGATGGATTGACCAACCGGTCAGCCCCAGTCCTGAAGAGGGAAGCTTTGTAGCAGCCTCGCCCTTTTCTGCAGTGTCCTTTTGTGCTTCAGGAGCTTCAAGTCCCACTTCCTTACCTGCTTCCTTCCCTGCGAGCTCATTAGTCTTGTCTGCCTCAGAAGCAGCAACAGCCGCATCTTGGCTGCTATTGGTGTCCACTCCAACCAGGGGCGTGTCCTTGCGATCTCACGCTTGCTCATTTTTTGGCAGTTCAGGCCACCCTTGATTGACACATTCTACGGCATCAACATGATTGCGGAGTGGGTGCTCATGAATTCAAATACACTGCCTGTCCTCTTCAGGTTTGCAAGAGTCCAATTGTGTTTTCAGCAACTGCAACCTTAGATGCCAAGAGCTTACAGTATGGCCACTTGGTGCATATTCATGTGATTTTGCTAATTTAACTTGACAATAAAGAATTTTGTTGGCCGCCAGCCAAGTCTAGTGTGTGACTTTGAGCATATCTTGCAGAATACTATATAATGCAGGTCAAATCCGGATTTCAAGCCTTGTGTGGGTTGGTCGCAACGAACCTGGTTAGGATCATTAAATGAGAAACCACAATCAGTCTGATTGACACACGTCAGAATCTGAATTAAAAACTCAAAACCAAAGAACCGAACAAATAGCAGCGAGGGACTCCATTGCATGTGGAGTACGGTCAACATTTCTTATGTGCGGCTACTGTTTTGGAACCTTGTTAAAGGGTATCGTTCTTCCGTGAGTCCCTTATCGGGTGCCAGGGTTTGGAGCATGCCAACATATGAATGCACCGCTCTTATTGCAATTGTGATCATCGCAAGATGTTGAAGGCTTTTCATGTGTTTTTATACCCGGATGACATGCCTGACAAGGAGCCTGTCAAGAAATCCTTGATCTTCAAATCCACGATAGCAATTGAGTTGCTGGCACTCTGTTGAATCCTGCATATTACAGCCAGGTTCTGTGTCATGTTTTCTCCAAAATGCCCGAATAGTGCTCTGGGGGTGGCAGACATGTCACATTGTCATTCGGCTCCTTCAAGCAGCTGAAAAAAGAAACTAACAATGTGTTTTCTTGTGGGGGGTCGCCCATGGACACCATCGGAAGTTCCAATCCCAGAACAAGCTCAAACGCACTCAAGCTGGTGGCAAGTGAAATAGCTGAGCACTGACCAAGCCGTGGTTTAGCTACGTTGCAAGCAAAGTGAGTAGTTTGATGTAGTTTGAGTGTTGAACTGAGGATTTAGGATGCAAAGTGGTCAAGTTGCCAAGTGGTGAATGAGCTAACCAGTGAGCTAGATGCTGAGCTTATTTCCCTGGTGCAGGTGTGGTGAGTTGAGATGGCCAACTGATTGTATTGAAGTACCACCATCAGTTTGCTTTCCCTACTGTAATTGCAGCCAAGTGCGGGAAGTCCCACCCACCTCACGGAGTCACTGCCATACTAAGTGTGAGGATCACGGCTTAGACTTGCGCCCTTCATGTGTCCCGTATCTCCCGCGACATGTGATGTAAATATTATATAGATTATTATAGATGTGTATACAGTAGTTCTTGTTGTTTCATGCGGGGCTGTGTCTGTTTAAAACGAAGTGTAGTTCGATCTTTAAAACACTTTGTCAGTGACTCGACTATCTATCTGCCCTGGTAGAATGACTGAGAACACACCCCTACAAGGACAACGGCCCACAAAAGGAGCCCTTACACAGGCTCCACACGCTCACGGGTGGGCTCTACACGCCTCACCGGTTCCACTCTACGGACTCTATGGGCCCGGCTCCTAAACATGAGTACGCCACAATGTTGACTGCTTTGTTTATACGTAAACAGGATAGGGGTGCACGGGGTGCACAAGATGCTGGATCTTTCGTTCTTTTAGTACTTGCTGTAATTACCAACAGAGGGGTGTAACGGGCCCGACGTGCTCCACAGGCGCACAGGCTCCATCCATGGCTGTCCTTTTTCTTGAAACACTTCAGCTCATCTCCACCCTCGGACTTTCCGGAAGGAGCGAATGTCTCCTGCAAGCGTTCTCAATGTATAGAAGCATCAGAAAAGAACCTATCATTTCTTTGTCTGTGAAGATCAACCCACCCTCTGATGTTTCGCCTTTGGACTTACCCCATCGTGCTTCCGCCCTTCCGCTGTTTCGCATTCAAGAAATGATCCCCACGTCGGCTGCCGGCTGGGAAGAAACAATGCACTTGCCTCTATGCACATCATCTGGGGGGGGGCGTCGTTAGCCACAACCCTCACGTAAATCCAGAACCACCCTGGTCAGTTCATATTTCAGCAATCTGCATGCAAGATCGAATGGAGCTGTTTCGCTGGTAATCCACCAGTCGGAGGCTTGTTACACGGCATAGCGCTTGCAAACTCTGCGATTGAGAAGGCAAAAAGGTGCAAAACTTTGAGTTGCCGTCCTCCTCTGCCTTGCCCGCAACTTTGGCTGCTGTGTCTCTCATGTCGACCTCGAAGCTAGCCAGCAACAAACAAGGGATTGGGTTAGAGCTGGATTCTGAAACTGGGGTTGTGAAACCAGCTTCTGAAACTGACATGCTGAAACTGGCATTCTGAAACTGAGAAGCTGAAACTGGAAAGTCTGATTCAGAAACTGGGGTTGTGAATCTGGTACTCAGATGTACTTCTAGACAGCTGCGGAGTAAAGATAAAAGTTGTGCAATCCTAGCTGCGGAAACAAAACAGTTGCGGAATCCTAGTTGCGTTCCCTCTTGCGAATGCGATTGCCCCCCAACCCTCCAACCCCTACCACCCCAATTCCCACCTATATTGGACCTATATTCTCCAGCATCTGTTCAATATCCAGTTTTTGGCTTTCGCTTTTGCTGAGACAGTTGTGGAATCCCAGTTGCCCAGTACAGTCGAGGAATTCCAGTTGGGGAATCATAGTAGTTGCGGAACCCTAGATTCAGAATCCCAGTTGCAGAACCCCACCATGGTTGGGGAATCCTGTGCAGTTGCGGAATGGGACTGTGTCCAATGGGATTGCGCATTGCGTCAGCCAACCCCAGCGGATGGTGGATAGATTGGATCTGAGAGTGTGGCACAGTCATTGGCAAGTACTTGAAAGCGTCGAATTCTCATGAGATCCATCTGCGTTTCTGCCTCAAATTTGGAGTGTTTCCTCACGCACCACACCAAACTGTATGCTTGAAGCAGGCCTTGGTCAAGGAAGGTTCCTGTCCAGCTGACTGGGCTCCATCACAAACAAATGGTCCACCATCTTGAACCTGCCGACAAGCAGATTTGTAGTACTCTGAGGGGGCAGCACTAAATTCGTGTCCACCCATCCTTGGCTCTATATTCAGCATCAATGGTGGCCTGAGAAAGGAAGCACAGCTATGAGCTTACATTGTTGAGACTGCTCTGGGTTTCATGCTCTGAGCTTGTCAAGCGCACTTTGGATTTTTGGAGCTTCTTCCTGTGAGCAACCCTCGCCGACCAATCCCATACAGGCCTCCAATGCTTCGTCGAAGCTGGGCTACTTGATGTTTTCGAGAAATTCTTTAATAAATTTGCCTACAGCTTGGCATCTAATGGGCGCAAGCGGCCGCGCTGTCTACTATCTATGTGTGCACACTTACGCACATGTGGCTCAGCGTCCTGAGCCAAACAGTCTACATTGCAAGTTTGCTCAAAGTTTGGGAATGCATACAAGTGGCCATCACATGTGGTACGCGGTCTTCTCACTGGCTTTTTCGTATTCATTCATGTTCCGTTAAGTATCAGGCCCCAGCATATTCTTTCCGATGCTTCCAATGTCGTGGGTCTAGTGCGCTCTTTGCAACTCATTGTCGTTTTACAAAGGTTTGATTATGGGTTCTGGGTGGGTGACACGTGAATAGGATGGCAACAAAGTGATCCTTGGAATTCTTGGGCAAAATCACTCGGTGTGTTTGGCATAGTTTAAAAACTACCTGCGCGAAATGCCGGAGAAAAACTCGACACCCACATTCACACAAACCACAGCCACAGACGGTCAGGTTTGAATTAACACCCCGCTCGCAAACAACGTGATTGCATATGGCATCTCCAAGAAATTGTCCTGGACTTTTTGTAGTCCCAAACTGGAATTACAGTTTAGGAGCACATACAGAAACCCATTGACCATATCAGCCATATATGGCTAGGTTACAGCAGATTAAATACTACACAGACTATATATATACATAAATATTTGTAAATACATGTAAATATATGTAAATATACTGTATATAGGCTCTGCGCACGTATGAGTCTAGGAAGAAAACTATCCATGGATATCCATGGATTGCTCCGCATCTCTGTCGTCCTTGTACTTCAGCAACCACTCTTCCCTATCGAACTCTTTGACGGTGCCCAGGCCAGAATGTGGATTGTCTATATCAAACCTGACAGTTTGAGTCAGTCAAAGCAATGGAGGACTCGGCAAGGAGAATACACTGCTCAAATGAAAAAAACTCCAAGAAGAACGAGGCATCTGCGGGGCACCATCCTTGGTGCGCATCCAGTAATGTGGGATTACCTCAATTCAGGCATCAAAGCTTTCACTTTCACGGAAATTTGATGCAATTTGCAAACAACCTTTCTTACTTCAAGGCAGCATTTGGTTGAAGATACAAGAGCACACACTTTGTACAAGTAGTAACGGCTAAACTAATGAAATGTGCAAGGCCATACAAAAGCAGTTTGAAATCCTCTTGCTTGCCAAATACAGGAGTTCTCAAAAACCCAACCCTACTGGGAGTTCAAAATGATTGTTGTGGTCAGTCACTCTTTTTTGGTTAATAGTTCCCAGGCTCTGCTTCGTTGTCTTGACCCCAGTTCGACAAACCGGTGAAAACCAACGGACGGTTGTTGCCATAGCAACTTGAACATACTTGAATCAGGTACGTCAAATCTCGCGAGCACAAGAACACTTAGCACAGTGCAATGAATTAACACTTTGCATCGCGTTGATTCGCTTTGCACGAAACACTGCACACGCTGCATCGAGGCTCTACTTTTGAACGTGTGAAGGCATGCTTTGCAAGATGAGAAACCCATGGGTTGAGCACATTCAGACCAGGACCAGTTCAACAGTGGAACGCTAGGTTTGCGGCTTGTGCATGTTGAGGCGTGTCTCGCAATAGGAACAGCCCATGGGTGCAACACACTTCAACATCGCCGACTTTTCACCTCTTCGGTTTGCTGACGAACTCTTGCTTGCGTCCGTCGCGCCAGACCGACAGCCATTTGCTCCTTGCAGTCTTCGGTTGCGTGGTGTCTGCATCCACAACTTCGTGGCGGAGCAGTGGACTCAACTGCCCTTTCTAGGTTTTTCCCGAATGCGTAGCGGAGGGTTCTCGTTTAGCACTGGGGTCTGGGGATACTCTTGTTCGCGACTTGCTGTCGTAGCCTTCGCAACTGTCCGCAGTAGGGCGCTATGGCGCTGACATTGAACGAAGCTTTTGGAGAGGGTTTGGATGGAAACATGACGTGTCAGATTTGTGTGAAATAGCGAGGACACGTATGGATAAAGGTAAAATGTTGAAGTGGGGAGCATGATTTCACTGCGCAGGTGCGTTTGTGGGATCTGCAGTTTTCCTCGCACTCACATTGGGAATCATTGGGATTGGCGTTTGGAGGGTTGTGTTTTTGGTGTGTTGGATGTGGCTGTGACATTGGGATTTGCGTTTCAGACTTTTGCTTCGAAGCTGTGAGTGGCGATTTTGGTGGATGGGGTTGTGCTTAGGACGTCTCGAAATCATTCCAAATGTGGCGCGGCGCAAAGCTGAAGACATGAAGATGTTACGTCGTCAGATGTCGTCAGTTTTCGTGGCTGGCACCGTACAATATATGCATGCTGGAGGCGTCGAAGTGGAATTTTCGTGGCAGGTGTAGGGAATCGTGAGGTTGCGGATGTTTGGTGGGTGCGACTGTGGCTGTGACATTGGGATTCGTGCGTCAGCGGTAGTTTGAGGGGGGCTGGGATTGCGAAACTGCGTGGCAGGGCTGCAGAATCCGCGGTCGCTGATGAGACTTCCCGCTGCGCAATTGAAGGAAGTCTTGTACGACACGCTAAAACGTTATGTTTTTTTCGAAAGTGACTTTGAACCGTGACTTTTGGAGGAAGTCTTGCACGAAACGTCGCCGCAAAACGCTCATTTTGCAGACTTGACACATGAGTTTGCAGGAAGTCTCGTACGAAAGGATCGTTTTGCTGGGACGTCTCGCGCGAAAACGGAGCTCTGCCTGTGTTTGCTGCCGAAGCGCGATTGTTTTTTCTTGGCCACGGCGGTCTTGCTGATGCAAGCCCGAGCCGTGCGTCCACGAGTCTTGAATCTTTTCACTTCCGGCAATGTGGGATGACGCAACTGTGGTCGCGGCTGCTCTCCCAAACACATTCGCGCCTGGAGACCAAAAGCATTCATGTGCGCTACGCGAAACTGCCGGGACTTGGCTGGACGTTCTCCTATATTTTTTTGAAAGACGCCCATGATGTCCTGGGGCAGAGGTGGTAGATGGGTACAAAAAGAAGCAAGAGACTGCGTTCTGGCGCAGCGGCTCTGCTAACTCTACAGCGTGGCGTGAGTGCCTCTCCAAAAACTTGTGGCAATACTCACTGGGCACCAGGAATGAACATTGTTGCTTTGGCCACAGAACTCAATGTTGCTTTTATCATTGCTGGAAATACGTGGGCCCACACGCCCGCAATCCGAGGACCTGGTGAGAACGAAAAATGTTTAGAGTTGCAATATACTTCTTATTGTTGGTACACTGTAAACGCTCACGCGCATTCTTTTGAAGTACCGAATGATATACGACAATACCATTCACTTCCATCCTGTGTATTGTCAATAGTTGCATCATATACTTCTGCATTTCCTGGCGTGAGCAAGATCCTGCCCCTGCAAGCCGCAAGACCAGACGCCGCAGTTGTGGATTTCTGTGTTATGTCAGCGGATACCATTTTCAAGTCCAAGTTTTTGAGAACTTCACGCAGATCTGAGTCTTTGCGCCGTTGCCTCATTTAAGTGCAGAGTGAAGAATGCTCTACATGTGGTGGCAGAATCCCCCATGTAAGAAACATCATGAAATGCTCTTTGCTTCCAGCACAGTAACATGTGGGGCAGAGTCCCCTATGTGACGCATCATGTCAGCAGAAAAAAAGATCGAATGGCTATTTCAATTGAACGGTTACTTGGCGAACGAACGTGTTTGCATTTGGGTTCGTGGGCTTCATCTTGTTCCCCACCTGTCAGGTGAGGGTTGTTAGAATTTATGTCAGCCCCATCTCCTTCCTCCTTCTTCTCCTCCTCCGCCGGACCTCAACTGCGACCATCCACGTCCAGAGTTCCCTGCCACGTCTCAACCACGACCATCCACGCCCAGTGTTTGCTGCCGGACCTCAACCACGACCATCCGCGCCCAGTGTCCCCCGCCGGACCTCAACACACAACCACAAACACAATGACAACACACAACCACAAACACACTACAAACACAACGACAAACACACAACCACTAACACACAACCACTAACACACAACCACTAACACACAACTACAAACACAACTACAAAGACACAATCACAAACACATAACCATAAACACACAAGCACAAACACGCAACCACAAACGCACAACCGCAAACACGCAACCACAAACACACAACCGCAAACACACAATCGCAAACACACAACCACAAACACACAACCACAAACACACAACGGCAAACACACAACCGCAAACACACTACGAACTCAACAAAAAACACGCAACCACAAACACAACAACCAACACACAACAAAAAACACAACCACCAACGCAACCACCAACACAATCACAAACACGCAACCAAAAACACAACACCGCCGAAACACAACCACAAACACATTCACAAACACGCAACCACAAACACACAAACAAGAACACATTCACAAACACAAAACCACAAACGCGCAATCGCAGGCGCACAACCGCCAACACAACCACAAGCACAACCACAAACACAATCACAAACGCAAACACAAACACACAACCACAAACACAATCACAATCACAACCACAATTACACAACCACACAATCACAAACGCACAATCACAAACACACAGCCACAAACACAACCACAAACACAATCACAAACACACAACCGCAAACACAACCGCAGACACAGTCACAAACACGCAATGACAAGCACACAACCGCAAACACAACCACAGCCACAACGACGCAACCACAAGCACAACCACAAACACAATCACAAATGCAACCACAAACACACAGTCACAAACACAATCGCAAACACACAACCGCAGACGCACAACCACGAACAGAAAACCACAAAAACACAACCACGGACGCAACCGCAAACACACAACAACAAACACAACCACAAACGCGCAACCACAAACTCTCAACCACAAACATAACCACAAAAACGCAACCGCAAACGCAACCACAAACACACAACATCAAGCGCGACCACAAACACACAACCACAAACACACACAAACACGCAATCACAAACGCGCAACCACAAACACACAACCACAAACGCACAACCACAAACACACAACCGCAAACACACAACCAAAAACACAACCACAAACACAACTACAAACACAACCACAAACACAACAAACACACAACAACAAACACAATCGCAAACACACTACAAACACAATCACAAACGCGCAACCACAAACGCAGAACCACCAACACAATCACAAACACGCAACCACAAACACAATCACAAACACACAACCGCAAGCACAAACACAAAGCCAATCACAAACGCAACCACAAACACGCAACCACAAACACAACCACAAACACACAACCACAAACACACAATCACAAACGCACAACCACAAAACAACCACAAACACCCAACCACAAACACACAACCGCAAACACACAACCGCAAAAACAACCACAGCCACAATGACTAACGCGCAGTGACAAGCGCACAACCGCAAACACAACCACAGCCACAACGACAAAGACGCAACCACAAGCACCACCACAAACACAATCACAGACGCAACCACAAACGCGCAACCACAAACACAATCACAAACGCGCAACCACAAACACACAACCACAAACACACAATCACAAAAACGCAATCACAAACACACAACCACAAACACAACCACAAACACCCAACCACAAACACCATCACAAACGCACAACCACAAACGCAACCACGGCCACAATGACAACGCGCAGTGACAAGCGCACAACCGCAAACACAACCACAGCCACAACGACAAAGACGCAACCACAAGCGCAACCACAATAACACAATCACAAACGCGCAACCACAAACACAATCACAAACACACAACCACAAACACGTAACCACAAGCACACAACCACAAACACAATCACAACACACTACTACAACAAGAACTACAACAACAACAACAACAACAACAATTAAAGGACCGGATAACCCCACATATGAATCTTTACGAATCTTAACTTTCTAAAGCACAAAGCAGTCAGAGTCTCAATAGCTTCTACAACACGGCCTTGTCAGGAAGTGATATCAGCTTCCGACAACAGAGGGGTGGGAGAGAAGGTGTAAGAGAGTGATGTGCACGACGGATGTACGAGGTATTGTGCACACAGGTGTGCGCACCCACAACTAGCCAACAACACCAGCGGCTGTCCCACGTCCACAATATGGGGCATAATGTACTAAAGTTGCACTACCAAGTCGCCAGTTCTCAGCTTCCAGCTCCCCAGCTACTCCGCGTACGTACTACAGTTGTACTACAAAGTCGCCAGTGCTCATCTTCCAGCTCCCCAGATACTCCGCGTACTAAAGTTGTACTACCAAGTCACCAGTTCTCATCTTCCCACTCCCCAGCTACTCCGCGTACTAAAGTTGTACTACCAAGTCGCCAGTTCTCATCTTCCAGCTCCCCAGCTA